CCTCAGCAAATCGGTCTGGTGGCAGACAAATGCATTCTGCACGTAGTGCACAAGTTGTGTAAGTGTCGACCAAAGGCTTTAATGAGGAAACAGCAAAAAGAAGCAACTGAATGTTACCTTGTACAGATTTAATATTCTCAGGCTAAGGCAGTAGTAAAAGCCCATCAATTCTACACAGTGCAATGGCCTCAGGGATGCTGGCACAAAAGAACCCACTGATAATGAAGACATTCCTACTTGGATATACACCAAAATATTCATTTGTTCCCCTCATTAAACTTTCATGTAGGGTTTTTGGTTTGGTTGGTTTCTAAGATGATGCTGTGTAGAGCATTCTGAGCATGAAATATTTATAGCTACATGGACCAAATTCCTCAGATGCTCTGCAGTCTGTATCTTTCACAACAGTAACTGCTGCCATTACAGTACTGCAAATCTTGTTTATCTGCATGGAGAAGCACAGGAGTCAGATGAGTCTGGGCCTGTTGCCTGCAGGTGATCAAAGTTCAGCACAAGCAGCAAGGTTTTTTCCTCCTGACTGAGGTGTTAACAAAACTGAAGTTGATGGCCTGATTTAACAGCCTCGAGCCATGACAACCTGCAGCTTATTTTCACCTTCAGTGATGCTCTTTGTTAGGGAATGGACAGGAAAGAGGTCGTCATCATTGGTGCTGGTGCTGTCATGTTGCCATGCCCAATGCATGTCAAAAAGTCTATTTAACTCTTAAGTCTTACCAGATTTCTATTTGATTTATTATTATTTTTCACATGCTACAGTCCATGTAACTCTTCCCAGAAGTGAGAAAAATGAACATTTGGGAAAGTTTTGAGATCATTACAGACACACTGAATGTGCACAGCCCGATGGGGAATATATGGTATGCTGCACCAAAGCTGAGATTATGGTGTTTTTACTCACCAGCATATCCTTTTATGTACAACATTTACCCACAACGGTGTTATACGGAACTGTGGGAAGTCCAATTTGTCTTTAAATGCGACTGTAAAGCTCATTCCATGCACAGGATCACAGGAACTTAGAGAAGATTTGGAATTCTTCACTAGAGGTTTGCCTAGCCTGTGGTAATGTCTCCACCAACAACAGGCATCCATCCTATTCCTTTGGGAGACCTCCATGCACCCCATCCCAAAAGCTCCTCATGGCTGCTCAGCCTGCATCCCTGCTCTGCATCCCTCTAGATTTCTCCTTGGCATTATACTGTGCATCTCAAAACTGTTTTCTTTTTTTGGTATCTCTTTGTATTTAGGGACAGAGAAACATAAGCTCACTGTGAACTGGGACCTTCTGCCACCTTTCTCCAAGCCTCCCATTTGTGTTAATACCAAGGTCAGATGTCTGCTTCAACATCATGCTGCCTGTCCCTGCAAAGCCAAGGAGCTCAGTAACCTGAATGGAATCACTTCATTGTCTCCCTTCTTTCTTTTCTACAGGTACCCACCAATGGGGAATGGGGAGTATTTACCACTCTGATTCGGCTGCATAAATAGGGATTTTGGAACCTCTGTAATTTTTTATGCTGCTTTACCAAGGGCACTGTTTATTTTTATACTGGAAGTCATACAGGATGGTAGCTGGGAGACAGAGCTATTCTAAAGACCCATTCACATTAACATAGCTCATGAGCCATTCCAGTAGTAGAGTTGTACTCATATCAAGTGTCTGATGTGCTCCAACACGAAATGTTCCTAAATCAATTGTTAATATAATGTCATGAAAATATGTAACAATGTCCTCAGTGCTGAGCAAATTTAGGCAAATGCATTCAAATATGATGCACTGAAGCCTTGAGCAAAGAGTGAGATGCTTCTGGAGAGCTGTGCTTGTTAGGATTTATTAGGGACACAACATGATATGTCAAAGAAGGACTGCAAGGGGCCTCTTATGGTTGTAAAATGCCCCTGAATGGGGAATTTGCTGCATGTAAAAGAGAGCAGCTATATGCTGCTCATCTTGTACTAGAAATAGTTCAGTGTTCAACTCTTTGAAAGGGTGGATAATGGCAGAACAAGGGGAAATGGTTTGAAGTTGAGGGAGGGCAGATGGAGGTTGGATGTCAGGGGGAAGTTGTGTGCTGTGAGAGTGGTGAGGTGCTGGAACAGCTGCCCAGAGAGGCTGTGATGCCCCGTCCATCCCTGGAGGTGTTGAAGGCCAGGTTGGATGGGGCCCTGGGCAGCCTGGGCTGCTGTGAAATGGGGAGGTTGGTGGCCCTGCGTGTGGCTTCATGATCCTTGAGGTCCTTTCCAATCCGGGCCATTCTGTGACTCTGTGATTCAATTTGGATGGCAATAGAAGTGGAAGGAAAGAAAGATGGGACACAACATGAGCTGAGAATGAAAGCCCAGAAAAAAAAAAATTTTGCTTTATTTTGTCCACTTCAACCAAAGTTTTTTCTCACAAAAATCACAGGGAGAACAACAAAACTTCACCAGTATCATTACAGAGGAAAAACACAAGTCACCACTGTGTCACTGGTATCTCTTCTCATCTGATGAAGCCATCACTGCTTCGTCTGCCATTCACATCTTTTAATCTTCCCACCTTGCCTTTTCCTTTGGTGAACCCACTGTTTGATCTGCTCAGACTCCCCAAGTGAACAGAATCCAGAGAGAAAGAAAGAGAAAGGACAACGTATCCCAATTTACATCACTCTGTGCTTCACCACAATGAAAGAATTAAAGCTCAGGGTCAATCTAAGAAATACCTGAAGGAAATAAAGTCAAGGAATCAAGGAAAAGGAAGTCACTGATGAAAGAGAAGAGGCCACTGTCCCCGATTTAAATACAGGCTGATCTGAGGTGCAGGCAGGCTGCAGAAGCAGACACACAGATTGCAGTGTTTGAGTTCAGAAAATAGCACTGCATCACACATGCGGCTGAGCCATGTAACAGAAACAACTGAATTTCACTTTGTTTTAACCCTAACAATCTCCGCTTAGGTCAAGTGTAACATCAGGACATCCAGCCCCAGAGTAACCTTGAGGCAATACGAGATGGGATGCAGCCAGCACAGTGAGACAGCCCTTGATCTCACTTTGCCTTTCACATCACAGCAGTAACATCACAGCGGAGTGACAGCAGAGAAGCCCATGCATCTTCCTTAGATTGAAGGTGCCAAGAGTGGCAGGACAGCACCACAATACAGCACACAGCAATCAGGAAGATGACGATCTTTAATACGCTGCAACCTTCTCTCTTTCATTAGTCAACAATGGGAATCAAGATGCATAGAAAGGTTTGTAAAAATTCACTGCTTGAAACCTCCATTTAACAAAGCATCACAGCTTAGTATTCTTTGAAGCACAACTTACCAATCCTTACACGGATAAACATACAGCAAGAAGGCAAAACTCTTATTAACTCTTTTCTTCCCTCTTACCCGTGGCAACCCACTGCCATGTGTGAGATTACAGCATGTTCCTGCCTTGGGGAAGGAAAGATCTCATTGCAAAAAGTGTGAACAGAGTTACCAGCAAAATGGTACTCAGGACTCTGTAGCAGTGTGGCTATGCCTTGTAAATACCTGCAAATTGAGCAATGGGATGTATCACTGATGCTTTCACCACTGTTGTTAATAATCATCTTCAGCTAGGAACAAAGAACCTTTGCTGAGCTCCCTGCTCTGTCATGGGCATCCCCCTTCCAGGCAGGGCAAGGAGTCAGCACAGATCTGAAACAAAGCAGTGCAATCAGCTGTTCCCCTTACCCAGCAGTGGCAGATTAGAATAACAGAATCATAGAATCATTTGGGGCCCCCAATACAACAAAGACAGGGAGCTGTTGGAGAGGGTCCAGAGGAGCCACAAAGATGATCAGAGGGCTGCAGCACCTCCACTACAAAGACAGGCTGAGGGAGCTGGGCTTGTTCAGCATGGAGAAAAGAAGGCTGCGGGGTGACCTCAGTGCAGCCTGCAGTACCTAAAGGGAGCCTGCAGACAGGAGGGGAGTCAGCTCTTGGAGAGGGGAGATGGCAGCAGGACAAGGGGAAATGGTTTGGAGTTGAGGGAGGGCAGATGGAGGTTGGATGTCAGGGGGAAGTTGTGTGCTGTGAGAGCGGTGAGGTGCTGGAACAGCTGCCCAGAGAGGCTGTGATGCCCCGTCCATCCCTGGAGGTGTTGAAGGCCAGGTTGGATGGGGCCCTGGGCAGCCTGGGCTGCTATGAAATGTGAAGGTTGGTGGCCCTGCCTGTGGTGGGGGGTTGGAGTTTCATGATCCTTGAGGTCCCTTCTAACCCTGTGATTCTGTGATTCTGTGATTAAGTAATAGACCTGTAAAATCAACCATCAACTCATCACCTCCGTGAGCATCCCCAGGCTGGTGTTGCTGAGCTCTGTGACTCAGAGAGCTGCCCAGCAGGACAACTGCTCCTCACTGTCCAGATTGACCTTTAGGAATCCAAAGACCACATCACTGATATTGCCAGCCGTGTCACTTTTTTCTACGTGACATACAAAATAAAAGGCCTTTGGCATAAACCTGAGCGCAGCATTTCATGTTTCGTCGAGCCCATCTCCCTTTCTGATTCCTTTATCTATTTTTTCTCTTCTTCAAAGAAAGAACCAAGCAAGATGTCTCATTTTGCATTGCTTTAAAGGGGAGATAAGGGAATCTGAAAATAGGAAGCAAAACTGATACAGCTTCCCAAATTCCCACAGGTCCAACATTAAAGTCAGAACGAAGCATAATTTCATTTCCAAATTGTAATTGTAGCAGATATTTTCGCTTTGGATGTTTCTTGTGGGTACTTATGCCTTCCCGTAGATAACGCTAATTACAAAGGAATCAAACTTCTCTTGCAAATTTCCGGTAAGTGAAAAGAAAGATCCCGCCTTGGTTCTGAATTAACTGTCATCTTGCTCCGATTCTTATGCTACTTTTATGCTAATGTCACTTCAATGATTTCAGAGATTTGAAAAAAAATTGTGAGGACTTGGATCTAGGGACTTGGATGTTAAAAATGAGGAGAGAATGGATGAACATACCCACACTCAGCAAATTATCACGTGAGGACATCCCTGAAGAAGCAGGGCAGCGCCAGCCTTGCCACGCAGTCACAGCTCAGCAGGATCGAGGTCCTCAGCTCCTCATGGAAAACAAAGGCAGGAAGGGAAGAGACAAAATCTTCTGCTGTTTATTTCTGTGATCACGAGCAAGAGAGAGCCGTTCTCTACATCTTGCATCAAAACAACAGCTCTTGCTAAACTCCTGGAGCAAACCAGGCCCCAGCAGGGCGATTGGCTGAAATTACAGCCCCTGGAGCTGCGCCTCTGCCAAAAACACATTGATCTCCCAGTGAACAAAACCAGCTTGAGAAATTCCCTTTACAACCTCCAAAAGTCATTGATCCACTCCTCAAAGAGGAGACCGCTGTGGTGTTATCAAATGCAAAATAAATCAAGTTAAGGCACTACAAATATATGAAGGCTGCAGGTTTACGGCTGTTTTAGTTTATATTATCACTAATAAAAGAAGATGCTCGAGCAGAGCTCCGATGGACTAATCTGGTCAGAGCTTTGTCCTCAAGGATTTGCAGACTAAAATAGCTGAAGTCTTATATCTCAGCTGCAGAGCTACGTCTGGCACACAGGGAATTGGAAGTGCACCAGAATCAGAAGTGGTCTCACGATGAACATGGGTTACTCTTTAGTGGTGGCAGCTACACAGCATGGTGACCTGCAGGCACAGGAGGCTGCTTGCAGGTGGAGAGCCCCAAGGTACAACCAAGGGCTGGGTGACACGCTCAGTGATGGTCATGTTGGGCTGCTGACTCTGCTCCAAGCATCCTCTTGCTTCCCACACAGCACCAAATAACTCCCAGGCATAGGAAAATAAGGGAAGGCAATTAGCATTTGATTAAATCATTAAGGAAATAGGAAATAGCAGGTGGCTTTCCAGTAACAAACGTATTCTAATTTGGCTTAATTAGGAGGAAAAGCTGCTCTTTGGTGTATTCTCACCTTTCTATTAACTGCATCAATTGAATTCGAGGAACATGCAGAGAACAAATTATCTGGCTTGATCCAGATTGTATCATGCAGCTCACAGAATTGATTAGGGGCTGGTTAACAGCAAATGGCTATGTAGAAAAACGGGCAGAAATCTCCCAAACTCTGAAACGGCACAGGGAGAAGGAAGAAGCCTCTGCTATTCCAGCATCTGTGCAGTGAATTTCCCCTTTTGGCCAAAGATGCCACTCTCTGGTTTAACTCTTATCTTCCTCATCCTCTTCTCAGCTCTCTCTCCTCCCTGTTCTCTCCTGCTCTATCACTACTATTACCTCAGTTTATGGGCTTTTCCCTTCCTGAACCTTTCTGCCCAAATCCCCAGCACATTATTTCCGCTTTTTCCTACTCCAGCAAATTGCCAAGGGACCCTCCTCCCTCCCTGACATCTCAGTAACGTGTTGGTGTTAATCACAGAATCACAGAATGGCCTGGGTTGCAAAGGAGCTCAGTGCTCATCCAGCTCCAAGCCCCTGCTGTGTGCAGGTCGCCAACCAGCAGCCCAGGCTGCCCAGAGCCACATCCAGCCTGGCCTTGGATGCCTGCAGGGATGGGGCATCCACAGCCTCCTTGGGCAGCCTGTTCCAGCATAATAATAATAGGGAGCACTAGCAAGGAATAGGGGCTGGGTGACAACACAAGGCAACAGGAATCCATCTTTTCTCATTCCCATCACAGGAGTTTTGCTGCCATGAATTCATACAGCTCCTGGCACAACAGAGGTTGCAGTCTCAGTCACAGCAACACAGAGGTTGAACGAGCACTGCAAAATCTATATGGTGGCTTTACTTTAGTGCCTCCCTCAGCTTAATGCAGGTTTAACAAAGATTTCTGCAAGCTAATGCAACGCCTGTGAGCTGCTGTGTGTCTTTCCCTAATAAATCCCTCTTTAACAAAAACCCTCTCATCCACCAATTGTATTTTGCTAAAATCACATTCCAACTTTTCATAAAGCAATTGGTAAGCAAAGCTAAACCCAGTGAATTCCCAGGGCCTGGTTGAGGATGATCTTCAGGATTCTTCACTGCAGCACTCTGAGTGCAGGGCTCAGTTCACCTCCTGCTGCTCTTTGGATCCGTGGGTAGGAGTCTGGAATTTCTAAATGACATTTCTCAGGCTATTTGTGCATGCATTCAGTACACAGAATGTGCTACATTTGCACAAGCACACTTGTCTGTAGGTGCACTCCCCACCAACAACCATTAAACCCAAAGCCAGGAGGTGCCGGCAGCGCAGTGCCAGCCAGCAGCACACAGGGGGAATGTGAGTGCCAGTAAACGAGCACCCAGAGGTTGTATTTCTTTCCCAGATGAAATATAATTTGACTGCCTTGTTAGTTATGCATGTGGAACAGCAGAGAACAGCAGCACGTGTGCTGAAGGAGCTCTCTGCAAGTGGGCAGTGCGCAGTGACCTGCAGTGCTGCTCAGAGCCCTGGCAGCCCCAGGCATGTGCCCAGCCCTGCTCTGGCAGCAGCATGTTCCTCCAGCAGATGCTGCTTGGATGTGCTTTGTGAGATGGGCTCTGGCTTAGGTGGATGCCCCATCCCAGGCTCTGGGCAGCCTGGTCTGCTGGTTGGTGACCCTGCACATAGCAGAGGGTTGGAACTGGATGAGCATTGTGCTCCTTTGCAACCCAGGCCATTCTGTGATTCTACGATTCTACGTCATGCATCAGTCATGCAAAATGTGCTACTGAAGTAGCTGAGCTCTTAGTCTGAGGACTTCTGGGCTGGATGCTTTCAGGAACAAGACTCCAGCCTATCTTTGGTCTCTCTGTCTTCTGCATACTTTCCCAGTCTGCTACTTCAGCTCTCGCATTTGTCCTTCTCCAGTCCTCCCCTTTCTTTATCCCTGTGTGCTGTTTTCTTTCCCCAACATACCCTCTGGCACCAGTGGTCAAATGGTGGGACATGAGGATGAGCTCACAGCAGCTGGGATGGAGGAGAAGGCACTGGAAGAAGCCCTAAACATAAGATGTAGCAAGGGAATAGGATTGCAAAGCCCCAGCCCTGCCCTTCTGCCACCAGGGCCCAGGAGCTATGCAGACATGGCAGGAGCTCTCACTGGGCAAACAACTGTCAGGTTTGCAAAGATGGAAGAGCATGCAAACCACAAATGCTACTCCTGAGCAAGAACACTCATTCCTTGTCATGATGCTGCAAAAGAAAACCCGCCAGCAAGTCCGTGGTCAAAACACCAAGGCAAAAAGGTCACCCTGTGAAGACCTTAATCTCAACATTAAAACAGACAAGTAAAAGAGAAAGTAGTATTCCCTCATGTGTACTAAAAAAGCAGGAGAAGTACCTGCAGTCAAAACTAAGCTTCAGCTCTTAGTTTGGAAAGATAACTGGGAGGCCATAAGCAGCTTGATCCCATCATGGATACATGACGTTGCCAACAACCCTGCACCTCACATTTTTCACTGCAATTGCAGCCATTTGTGTTCTTCCTGGCAGCAAGCTGGATATTTTCCAACACCAAACCTCACTTGTAGGTTTGACAGACAGATAGATTTCCTCCCCTGGGTCCCTTCTGCAAGACAAAACAGTTATTCTATCTCCAAAGCTGAATAAAAAGAATAAAATTTGTATATTTTAAGTTCATTGGATATTTTACACTTTTAGAAATCACAGCTGGGAGAAAGAATAGTTTGAGAAGGTGGGCTGCATAACATTCATAGAATCACAGAATCATAGAATCACAGACTGGTCTGTGCAGCAAAGGAGCACAGCGCTCATCCAGCTCGAAGCCCCTGCTGTGTGCAGGTCGCCAACCAGCAGCCCAGGCTGCCCAGAGCCACATCCAGCCTGGCCTTGAATGCCTGCAGGGATGGGGCATCCACAGCCTCCTTGGGCAACCTGTGCCACTGCCTCACCACCCTCTGGCACCAAAACTTCCTCCTCACATCCAACCCAAACCTCCCCTGTCTCACTTTAAAACCATTCCCCTTGTCCTATCACCATCCACCCTCACAAACAGCCGTTCCCCCTCCTGTTTATATGCTCTTTTCAAGTACTGGAAGGCCAAACTGAGGTCTTCCTGGAGCCTTCTCTTCCCCAAGCTAAAAGAGCAGAGTTCCCTCATCCTTTCTTCACAGTGCCAGGAAGATATTTTGAAAGGTGGAGGGGATGCTGAGGTCTCACTCCTACATTCAGAAGTGTTTCATTAAACCACTTCTGCATGAAACAGAGAAAACAGCTTTGGGGTGTACAGTACCCTTTGCTGTTTCAAAATGCAGTGGCTCATTTGGGCAAGGACACAACTCATTTTCTGCGTGCTCCATTTGTTCTGAGCAGCTGCTGTGGGTGTCTGGGCCAGGAAATGAGACAGGCAGCTTCTGGTCCTGTACTGGGGTTAGAACAGGCTGGGGAAATTCAGCAGCACAACAGCATTTGTCTGTAACATCCTCATACCCAACTGCTCATGACGTTTTGGCTGGAGTATAAGTTATACTGAGGTTTTGAGGGAGCACTCCCTTCATTGCCTGAATTCCATTTGAAGACCCTATCTTATCTAGGCAATGTTTAGCACTCACCAGCTCACATAAATACTACCATTGCATTCCTGGACAATTTTCAGGACATGGGTCCTCTCAGCTCATCATAACCAAAGATCTGCCCACAGCTGTGGGGAATCCAGGAGCAGGGGTCCCTGTCTGCCTGTTCCACCCTGCAGATCTCCCAGCTTTGCTCTCTCCATCAGCCTCACACCCAGCTGCCTCTGGAGCTCATTACCACGTATGATACGAATCGGAGGGACAGGAAGGCATTTAATGGCAGGATTCATTAGCCTGACTGACTCGGTTTCTCAGTGGGCAGCAGGTCATTGCTCTGCTATTACAGAGGTCGGGGTATCTCCATTGCAAATAGGTTCCCTTTAGAAACAGCTTTCTTTGGCTATTTCACAAGAACGCCAGCGATTACACTGTCATAAACAAACTCACTGCGCTGCATACTAACAGCAGCCTTAGGTTTCATCTTCATTTATAACCTGGCATTTCAGGGCATAATTTGAATTTATAATAACGTCGTGCAAGACCTATTTTATGGATTATCATTCCATTTGGAGCCTTTTCAGTCATACCAGAGTAAATACTGGATCATCCCTGCAAGAAACTC